ATATACTATTTTTACAATCTCCTTATATTCTGAGAGCTTATATATCATTTTTACAATCTCCTAATATTCTGAGAGCTGATATATTATTTTTACAATCTCCTGATATTCTGAGAGCTTATATATCATTTTTATAATCTCCTGATATTCTGAGAGCTGATATATCATTTTTACAATCTCCTTATATTCTGAGAGCTGATATATTATTTTTACAATCTCCTGATATTCTGAGAGCTGATATATTATTTTTACAATCTCCTAATATTCTGAGAGCTTATATATCACTTTTACAATCTCCTGATATTCTGAGAGCTGATATATCATTTTTACAATCTCCTTATATTCTGAGAGCTGATATATTATTTTTACAATCTCTTGATATTCTATGAGCTAATATATTATTTTTACAATCTCCTGATATTCTGAGAGCTTATATATTATTTTTACAATCTCCTAATATTCTGAGAGCTGATATATTATTTTTACAATCTCCTGATATTCTGAGAGCTTATATATCATTTTTACAATCTCCTGATATGCTGAGAGCTGATATATTATTTTTACAATCTCCTGATATTCTGAGAGCTAATATATCATTTTTATAAGCTTCTGATATTCTGAGAGCTGATATATCATTTTTATAAGCTCCTAATATTCTGAGAGCTTATATATCATTTTTACAATCTCCTGATATTCTGAGAGCTAATATATTATTTTTATAAGCTTCTGATATTCTGAGAGCTGATATATCATTTTTACAATCTCCTAATATTCTGAGAGCTGATATATCATTTTTATAAGCTCCTAATATTCTGAGAGCTTATATATCATTTTTACAATCTCCTGATATTCTGAGAGCTGATATTTCATTTTTATAAGCTTCTGATATTCTGAGAGCTGATATATCATTTTTATAATCTCCTTATATTCTGAGAGCTGATATATTATTTTTACAATCTCCTAATATTCTGAGAGCTGATATATCATTTTTATAATCTCCTGATATTCTGAGAGCTGATATATCATTTTTATAAGCTCCTAGTATTCTGAGAGCTTATATATCATTTTTACAATCTCCTGATATTCTGAGAGCTGATATTTCATTTTTATAAGCTTCTGATATTCTGAGAGCTGATATATCATTTTTATAAGCTCCTAATATTCTGAGAGCTTATATATCATTTTTATAAGCTCCTAATATTCTGAGAGCTTATATATCATTTTTATAAGCTCCTAATATTCTGAGAGCTTATATATCATTTTTACAATCTCCTGATATTCTGAGAGCTGATATTTCATTTTTATAAGCTTCTGATATTCTGAGAGCTGATATATCATTTTTATAATCTCCTTATATTCTGAGAGCTGATATATTATTTTTACAATCTCCTAATATTCTGAGAGCTGATATATCATTTTTATAATCTCCTGATATTCTGAGAGCTGATATATCATTTTTATAAGCTCCTAGTATTCTGAGAGCTTATATATCATTTTTACAATCTCCTGATATTCTGAGAGCTGATATTTCATTTTTATAAGCTTCTGATATTCTGAGAGCTGATATTTCAT